TCCATGCCCAGGTAACACCCCCAAACCCCACTGTGCCCAGAGCCTGTGCACAAAGCCCCTGTTCTGAATTGCTCTTGCAGTCAGGATACTGGGAGAGAGCGAGTGCAGTTGTTCCCACTTCTCAAGGGGAGTGCAGCACGTGGAAATCCAATGAAAACCAGGCATTTGAAGTAGATTGAGTGCCAAATAAATATACAAAAGTTCAAAATCCAAAGCCAAAAATCTCTTCATTTCTTGGTGCCATTGGCTGAGTCCTCTCCAGACCTGCCTAGCTCGGTGCCAACTCCCACCTCAGCCCAGCTGGGATCTGAAAACTGAGTGCTCCATCCCATTGTCAGTCTCGAAGCAATTGCAGAAAAGCACTGAGCTCCTCTTGGACCTCGGTCCTAGCAAGTTCCTTTCACAGCCTGTTGGTTCAGCTGCTGCCATCCCCTTTCCTGCATTTAACCTGGTATAATAAGCCAGTTTTCCCAGGGCACGGATGACCCGAATACAGTTTCCACATGCATGAAAGGAGTTAAAACTTATGCTTTAGGTTGATTATAGACTTACAGACTGCCTTGGGTGGAGGTTTCCACTGCTGTTGTTGCTGCACAAGCAGCCCGGCCTCCAACTTTAAGATGAGTAGAGGGAGTAAATCTTACAAGAGGACATGCCCGAGGTTATGCTGAGTGTTGGGAGAACTGAGCCCCTGCGAATCCTGATCTTGTCCTCTCTTCTCGTCTGACACTGGGTTGTATAGTGGGAGCTGTAATGGGAGGCAGCTTGACTCACTGCAGCAGCTCCTGACTTTGGAAATGGTAATAGAAATCTGGGACCATGGCAGAGCTGGAGAGAGGATGGGTACAACATGGAGGTTGGCAAGGGAAGATAAATAGGAGGTACCTACTGTCCCTGGATGAAGGTGGCTCTTATGGGCAGCATGTAAATGTAAAGACTTTTAGGAATATTATGGGTTAGTCTCAGAGTGCTTGCAGGTTGCAGCTGTGAAATACCTTCCACCTGAGAGGGCTTTGCAAATGCTGGGCAGGACTCACCTGCCCAGCACACTGAGGCATAAGGAAAAGGTGCTCTGAGCCCTACCCAGGCTGTGCTAGACTTTGGACCAAGACCCATCTCTTGGGACCAGGATCTTGTGTGTTCCCCAGGGTATCTGTCATTCACTCCTCTGTTGACTTACCTCATTTCAAGTGATCCAAAACAAAAAAAGCCAAAACAGATGTCAAGAGAGAAATGAAGAGT